TTGTAAATATTTAAATAGTTTGTTGGACCTCCTCCCTCCTGTCTGATGTCCTTGTAGCGAGTTTGTGATTATTTGGCTGAATAATAATAATAATGTTTAAAGTGTGTGTACATTTCCATCCCTGAATATCGATCAGAAACAGGTTTGAATTTCCAATATTTATTTATTAAATTTATTGATTAAAAAACTGTTAGAAAGAAACAGTAGCTGAAAACTGACCAATAGGATGATTTGGATGTTTTATTCTGATATAAGTGGAAGGAACAACTAGCAGAACTTCAGTGGCAGACCAAAGTGAATCAATGCAGTGATGTAAAATACTAAAACAAAGTTATTAAACTATATTTATTATGTAGAATGAAAAATCAGTTCAACAATGGCTGTTAAGTTGTTGGACACTGAAGAAAAAAAGTTCATTTCGAGCTCAGTAAATGTAAGAAAATCTGGTGATAATAATAATAATAAAAATAAGATAAATAATAACAGAAAACTGGAAAAGTGAATTTGATATATTGAAATATAAACTGATATTAACAGCGTGTTGTTTTAGTTTGAGGGTGTTTGTGTCTTTACCAGTTGTAGGCTTTCAGGAGCGTTCCAGGCCAGAAGAGGAAGGAGGTGATGAAGGCGAGGACGGGAACAACCAGAATACCTCCAGATAACATTATGAGCTCCATCGCTGCTCACTCCTGTAAGAACATAAAAAACACACAAACGGACGTCGTCATTTGCTCTCAGCTCAGTTTCTGCATCGTGGATCTCCACTCAGTGTCCCATCAGCCCCTGCTGCTCATATTATATTCAGTTTGTGCCAATAAATCCTCCTAAATGTTACACACTGGACCTTTAAAGTGTGCGGTTATTCAATTATAGAGCCTCTATGTGTCCTTATAAAATATATATATATGTAATAATACTGGCTAACTTCAGTCCATTACCTACTAGCAAAAAACAGAATCATAATTTTGATTAATATCTGACAAAAAGAGATCGCCATGTGTCACTCAAGAGTGAGTTTAAGTGAACTTTAAAGTTTTTAACAGAGTACAATCTGGAGGTGTGGGGGTTGAAATATGTAGGTGTTTGCTCAGCAGGGAGGGTCTCATGCAAAGCTGCTATCATGTTGCATTATGGGAAATGTAAGATTGGTGTTTTTAAACCTATACTAAAAAGTAAA